GGCGCCAGACAGCCAGCGCCCTGGACACTGACCTCAAAACCATCCAGGCCGAGCTCTTTGAGAAGAACAAGGTGCCGTGGGGGTGGTCCTGTCCCCTGCCAACCCTTCCCGGGGTGACCCTGTCACGTAGTGGTGGTTCAGCATCCCCCACGACCTCCTCGAGCCCAAACTGCCTCCACCCTGTCTGTAGGGGATGGTGGTGACCCTGTCCTTGTTCCATCAGCTCTTCCATCGTGCGGTGGGGTGGGGGAGGTCCCTGGGGAGGGCGAAGCAGGCACCCGGTGGTAGAGGGGGCTGTCACCCACTCAGCCCCCCAACCCCGTGCCCACGGCAGGAGCTGGCCGACCTGAAGCATGTCCACACCAAGCTGAAGAAGCAGTACCAGGAGAAGATGGCCGAGCTGGCCCACGCCAACCGCCGCGTGGAGCAGCACGAGGGCGAGGTGAAGAAGCTGCGCCTGCGCGTGGAGGAGCTGAAGAAGGAGCTGGCCCAAGCCGAGGATGAGGTGGGGAAGCTCATGCTGGGGGAGGGCGTTGGGGTAGGCAGCTCCGCTCCCCAGGTGGCCACCAACAGCCCCGTCCTCATCCCGTCCCGCAGCTGGATGAGGCCCACAACCAGACGCGGAAGCTGCAGCGGTCGCTGGACGAGCAGACGGAGCAGAGCGAGAGCTTCCAGGTGCAGCTGGAGCATCTGCAGTCCCGGTGAGCGGGGACCCGGGGGTTGCCGCGGTGGGGACCAGCGAGGACCCACGGGTGGGGTGATATTTTCCTCGCCACCATCCTTTGACCAGCATCTGTCCGGTTGAAGCCCATGTCCAAAGTGCCTCCAAGGTCCTTGGAGGGTGTGCAACCTTCCGTGGAGCAGCCCCCACCCCGCTGCAAGCTGGACAGCATTCGCCTCCCAGTTAAACCAGCACAAGGCTGCCCACAGACCAGTGCAGCCCGGTTTCACACCGCTCAGGGTTTCACCCGCTGGTACCCAGGGCCAGGGCAGGCTCCGAGCATCCCGTGCCAGTTTGGGGAGGTGGGAGGTGGGTTTTATTGCCCTTAAAAACTTTCCCTGGCCTCGCTTCGCCTCCCCGGCAGTAAAGAGCTGAAATGGCCGGGAGAGATCGATGCCACATCTCTGGGAGGCGCTGGGGGGGTTGTGTTTATAATCTTCCTTTATTTTATTGGGACATCTTCATTAAATCATGGAGGAATAATGGAGCCTTCATCTTCCCCCTCCACCAGCCTCCCCGCACGCTCGCCCTTAAATAATTCATGCTTTCCAGTAAACTGCAGCGAGCTGGTCGGATCTGAGCGGGTCCCGGGCCTTTTCATTTCAAACTTGCTTCCTAAATTTTTGTTGATGAATTTTAACAGGAGGGCAGGCGAGGAGCTAAAACCACCGCAGGCTCCCAGGAATGGGGACTCTTGGTGTTTTTTGGGGGGCAGCTCCATTTTAG